GCTGATTCTAGTAATAAATGATACAAACTAATTCTACATATAGTTTCAAAACTGATTCTACAAGAATAATCAAGGATGGGTTGAGCTTGTGGTACATATTAATTTTGTTGGAGTTATGAAGGCTAGGTTCTATTAATAGCCCTAAAAGCCTTAAGGGTATGACTGGTATTTTAAAATATTATTTCCATATTTTTGGGTTGGGTTTTATTTTTTTTGTTCAAGGCTTTAGTTGTTTTTATCTTTTATTGACATGTTTAACTAGTGAAGTCCCTTAAAATATAGTGAAAGTTTTTGTCTCTATATGTAAAACTTCCAATATTCAAAAGGTAGGACCACGTATCATGTTTTTTACGTACATTATATATAAAATAGTTTACCACACATCGTTTAATTTTAAAACACGCTAAATATTTTTGTGTACATAAATTATATAACATCTATTTGACAAAAAAAAAAAAAATTATATAACATATAAACTGACACAGATTTGTTGAACATTTATAGCACTATGTGTTCTATATGTATAACACTAATTAATCATTTGTTTTGGACATATATATTGAGATTTCTTGTTTGAGTCTTCTTGCCAGCTACAAGATAAGATCTACTCAAATAATATTATTTACCAACTATCTCATTCACACTCTCAAAGTGATCTAGTGCATGCATGGGACCTATAATATTATTTACCAACTATCTCATTCACATTCTCAAAGTGATCTAATGCATGCATGGGACCTTACTCTCATCCACAAAGGTTTTTCTCCCAACAATACGATATATATGTTGTGTTGTTCAACCATCAATCTCCAATTTTTTTTTTTATCCCAACCACGTCTAAATTAATAACCAAAAATCAAATTTCAAATACCTGAAATTGTGTTTAAATTAATTTATCCTGTTTCAAAGCCTAATATATCGTTATTTAGGTTACATCACATGTTTTTTTGCCTGTTAATTACTAATACTAGTTGAACACTATTAACTTTAATTATACCTTAAAATCGAACCACTTGCAAGGGATGCATACTCTGTACATATTTACATTAGAAAGGGGAGACAAATCTTTTATATTTTGAAAACTAAAACTAACGGTATTAGTTTTCATTTTAATGAAAATATAAACATTCACCAAAATTAGTTTTTAATTGTTATAAAAAATGAAAACTGACAACAAAATGATAATTAAACGGCCCTAGGGTTTGATAACATCCTTTTGGTTCCCAATTTACTCTTTAGTGGGTGATTAGCTTTGGACAAACAAAGGATCTAAGAACATTAACATAGGTAATTAACTTTGTGACAATTGTAGCAAACATAGTTGACTGTGTATTGAACTATCAAGACTATAAGTAACCTAAAACCTAATTAAATGATTCTGTGAAGAGACCCATGCAGTGCATATTGGTAGTGATTGGTTGATATATGATATCAATCTATGAGAGCTGATATATTCTGGGTATTTGATTGACATTTTATAGATATTACAAAATGAAACAATAGCAACAAAATCTTAAGCAAATATATCGCAGCGTGTCGTATGTTGTAGATTGATACTTAATGGCAAGCATTCCATAATTAATTTCCTTAGGTGTCTCTAGCTTTTTTTGTCTTTCAAGTGATTTGCTACCCACTCATTAGGTTTTTTATTTAATTGAACCAAATATTGAGCTCTTCTTAACACTCTTGTTTATGTGAAATCATTTCCAGATACATGTATGTGAATAAATAGATATCTTTTGCATGATTTGAAATTTTGAAATATGCTTTATTAAGGCGAGCTGAACTTACTGACTCTGATACCATGATAACTTTCTAAGCCAAAAATTTCAACTCTACTACTTAAAACTTTATTTGGTTGGCGGAGATTATCAATACGTTACAATTACTATATTCATGAGAATCTTTATCACATTTACCAATGCATACATATCAGTTAAGAAATGACTTAGAAGCCAAATTTCATCTGCTTTTGAATGTTCGAAGGCGTGGTTTCAGGCGGCCGCGGAGCTCACAAATCACATGCTGTTGTGCAGTGCGCGGAAGGTTCTTGATCGTATATTGGTGCATTGGCTGTTGCATTAGTATTTAATTTCATTTCTTTTGGTATTTAATTAATTTCTTTTGTAAATTGTCATATGATTATTATTTATTTGTTGAAGGTTGCCATCTGCCTATGACCTCATTGACTCTATAGATGACTCTTGTCGTCATGTGCAAATGCTCGATGGTTGCATGAGATTATTAAGATTCCCCTTTTTGATGAAATAGGGAAAGATAGCTTGCAACCGATGGGAGTGTCTTGATGTAACTTTGTGCAATTCAACTTTAAAACACTTACAAGAATAAGAATTGATTCATATAGCAACGATCAGCGAAAGCTGAGTTAGTCACAATGACATTGGCAACTACTAGTTGCAGCAATTTATTACGAATTATCGTATATGTTGATACAGTGTGAAGTCAGAATTTAGTCACAAAAGAAGAGGAATTTCTTCTATTTACTTTATTTTTTTCACTCTCAACGCACCGATTAAAGTGAAAACGTTCTTGATTGAAGTTTCCATATTTTAGTGAATTTGCTGTCTTTGCACAAGTTTTTTGTTGGTTAAAATTTTGATTCTACGATAGTATGTATCACTTATTGGTATAAGTTTTATGCAAGATTTAATAGTTGCAGAGATTCATATTCCTATACAAAATCTAACTATTGCAAAAAATTCATATTTCTATTTACAAAATTTAACCATCAATTTTTCAAATCACATAAGTAGTACTGTACGCATCATGAAACAAAACTTTTGTCTTTTACTACAGGTTCTTACTAGAAAACTATTCTATATGAAAATATAATAAGACATGACACTGAATCAAAAGATGAAACAAGAAGTTGGGATCCAACAACCGCGCGCTTATGTCTGTTGACAGGGATGGGGAGAGAGAACAACAAAGACAGGAAACAGACAGGTAATTTAGCAGTGAGGCTGTTGACCCAGTCCAGTCTTAATTTCAAGAAAATCATAATTACTAAAATCACCAACTGATGTTATTTTTAAACAAATAAGCCTTATCTCCGTATTTATATATGTGCTTGTAAAGAGTGGGTAGAAATTTTGGTTAATTAGGGAGGAAATTAATTCAGATATCTGGAAAAGGGACAGTTAAATTTTTAATGAAGTGGGTAATTAGCATAAAAACAAAGATATCGGCAGGGCACGTATTTCTGTTTTGGTTCATGCTAGGTCTTTCACAAAAAGAGAACCATCTAAGCACATTTTCCCCCGGGATCTAGGATAAGCTGTCCCCAAATTTTAAACAAGATAAGGATACTAGAAGAAAGAAATAATTCAAAAGATTTGGGGACTTGGAGGTTTGTGTAAATAGCTTCGCATCTACAGAACCTTTTCACATAAAATTATACAAATTAGATACAGGAAGCCTTTCAAAATGACCCTTAATTAACTACTCTGGCCCTTTATTCAAAGAGATTTCCATTTTATGGCAGAAATGGAGACTAATTAATTGAGGACCTATTCTACATTGGACTATAATGAGCCAAATTGTCTATTTTTTAAGTTGCAATTTATAGATCATGTTTGCAAAATGTTAGTCAAATCCGAAATATTTGACGAATCTAATTGAGTTCAAAGGAATTAACGAACACTATGTTTTAAGAAACATTAAAATTTCATCATGACAATCAAATGTATAAATGCTTTCAGATTGAATTGATTTTTTTTTCTTTTCAAATATGATCTATGAATGAAGATTTAAAAAATAAACGGTTTGGATCGTTGAAGTTCGATGTAAATGTGCCCCTCAACTAGTCCTCTTTTTACTAAAAAATCGGAATCCTTTTGGATAAGGGCTCTGATTAACTACTTATGTTTGGTCATAAATGAAAATAAGGCTTGTTATGGGCCTATCTATTTCTATTTATGCAAAAGTCGCACATCTCCGCCCCACTAATTTCCAAGCTTAAAATTGGAGCTCGGACGACCATCTCATTTCACTCTAACTTGTTCGACAGCTTGGACAAGTTACTCTCGGAAGCACGTACAGCCATAGAGGCGACTAGAGCCTGAGAATATCTTGCCCCCTTAAATGCCTAAGCACGCGTCATTCAACATACTAATGTCATTGTGCTAACCACCTCAAGACATAACTGAAAGTCACTTATTAGGAATTACAGTCACTATCAGTGCCAAATGACCAATCTCCCCCTACTCTAGCTCGATATGATCGAGGTTGCTCCTTCTCCCCTGCCTATAAATAGAGTTAGAGGCCTTCAAGTTCGGGACCTTCATCAAATTCAATCTCTACGATTAAACAAACCTTGAGTGATCCCTTAATCAACCTAACTGCTTTCAACACAAACTCAATTGCTCTTCAGCAAAAACTCTTTTAGCTCTTAGATCATCTCCATTGGAGATGTCAAATTACATTTTATAGCTGAAGTGGCATAATAGCATTTGTAAAGTCTCATATTCCAATCGAGATGTCAAATTAAAATGGTTTTTGGAGAAAATGATCAAAAAGTGAAGAAAATAAAGAACTATGTGCGCCCAACATTAAATAAAAAGAAAATTTGACATTTCCTTCAAAACAGTCCGCGTAGGATTTTTGACATCTCATTTGGAGATGATTTTAAGCTACAATCTTAAAGCCTTCCTTCAAAGCAAATATTGTCTACGATCATTAAGATCCAAAACTTTTATAGCTTTTCTACCCCATTGTATGATTTAGTTGATGTGCAAACACTGCCTACAATTCCCAAACTTTTTACTAAGTCCAATCCGACACCAGTGTTCTCGATGGCCTCCTCTAGTATTATCTTGCCTTCAAGGCCTAAATATTGCTAGAGTTTTACTGCTTTTATTTACTTATTATTATATATATTTTCAATCAATTTACATTTCAAGTTATGTAGCTTGACCCATCGGCATAGACTTTGCTGTTGTGAACGTTTGTAATCTTGACTCCATCATGAAATGATTACATTCTCTTTCTCATTTTAGTTTATGTTTCGCTTTTATTTACTTAATTTTTAGGCAAGCATACACGAAGTTATATTGAATTTTAAGTCCTTGTTCGCTTGAGGCACATAAAAAAACTTAACTGAACCAACGTCCAACTTGGTGCACAATCATTTGATTAACAAGTCAGATTAATGCACAACTTTCACACGTGCAACACAAACACTATTTGTTGGCAGCCTCCAACAGTTGCGCGTCTATTCTCTCTTCCTATCGAGCCATCTCGTGGCACTCAAACCAAAAACAACACTTGAGAGAAATACGTGTTGAACCCAGTTCAGACTCCCTCTGAATTTTGACACCAACTTAGCTAGTAAAAAATAAAAGGACAAAAAGCATAGAATATTCATACATCATTAATTTTTGAGAATTATCAGATGGCTTCCCATGATTAGTAAGTCGATCGTGCAATTTGCGTAAAAAGAGCGCACGCACACACACGCTACAAAATAATGTGAAAAAAAGAAGAAGAAAGGATTTAATAAGCACACAATTCTATCGCTTTATACTTGCAAATTAAGTACTAATTAACAATTAACCACAATCAGGATCTTCAACTCTATCACCATTTCAAGAAAAGAATTGCACAAATACCTACAACCATCATGTACAATTCTCTATTTCCCACCCCACCATTATCAAAAGACATAAGCTAATCAAGTAACTAAATTTAAAGAAAAAAAAGAAGAGAAAAAGGAAAAAAAAAAGAAAAAACTCAATCCATCCTAACTACTACACTTTCCTCACTCCGAAGATGTTACATTGAGGAATGACAAAGGTAAAAAAAAAGCAATTCACACACCTTAACCACTTAACAATATCTCACATGCTTCTGGCAAGCATTTCTTGAAATCTCCTGTAGGACTCCTGCTTCTCCAATATGAACTGCTCATGGCTTTTAGCAATGAACAAATCAGCTAGCTTATCGATCTCATTAGCATCAGTCTGATCATCGGACATGGAATTATTATTATTATTATTATTATCACGGACCTTCTTCTCCTCAAGCCATTGGAGGTACCCAGAGAGCTGTGATTCAGCACCATGATTATCCTCACATTGCTGACCATCAGTTGAAAGTACTGAATTCCATGTAGAATCATAGTACAAATGTGTTGCTGTTAATCCATCGTAGACATGCGCAGGCACGGGCAACACATGCGTAGACCAGTTGTAGTGCAGTCTAAACGAGCCGAAGAATATCTTCTTGGTCTTGTTCTTGTTCTTGGTTTCTTTGGTAGGGTAGATGAGCTGCATGGGTTGGCTATTTCTGAGAACCTGAATGAGAATTGATAAGGCTTTGGACCTGGCTTTGTTGAGGCACCGAATTACGCGCCACATGCGTGAGAAAATGAGGGTGTGGACCAGGGTTTTGATCTTCATGGTAGAGCTTAAGGCAGAAGATGGTGGTGGTGGTAAGGTGGATAAAACTTGAAGAGGGTGGCGGGTTTTTAGATTGGAGGAGGGTCCAACTCTAACCTTTCATGTATGTGCAAAGTGTGTGCCTAAGTGGCTGTGGGGTTAATTGGCTGAAGGGCCTAATGGAAAGAGATTTATAAAGAATCTTCGTTCCATGTTTGCCCCTTGACCTTTTTGTTATTTAAAAGATGTGCCATTCAACTTTGTGACCTAGAAGATATGGCCTTTGAACCTTTAAGGATTTGCTAATTTTCAGAAGACCTCAAATTTGAAAGCTGGAAAAAAAGGTTCCAAACTTGGAGCCCTGCTGATATAAGTCGCGGTTAGATTGTTTGACATGGTGGCAACCTTAGTAATTTGACGTTATGTTGGGGTTGTTTGGGAAGAAGGTTTGGATAGGTAAAGTGACAACGTTGTGACGTTTATTGCTGGCGCTAGGATCCCATAGAGAATACATTTAAAAATGTAGTAAGCAGCTCGAGAACAACAATTGAGGCTCAAGCTTTGCAGAAATTACGAGCACAAGAAATATTATAATGTATTTGGCACTTTGAAAAAAAGTTAAACTTCTACCATAAATTCAATTGGTTATAATTCGGAGGAGCTCAATGTCCTTCTTGCCATTTGTATAAGATTCATTTTGAACATACAGTACTATAATTTCCAGCCTACGATTGATACAAGCAATTAAGTTCAAGTTGTGTGCCTGCGTGAAACACTTCAATATATTTAGTTAATATGAATAGAGGTTCTTTGTAGTGTTTCAGTAGAGCACTTTTAGTGTTTGAATAATTCATGAGCAATATTCTTGCAGTACATTTTATAGGAAAATGCTAGAAATAACATATTTTGTAAACCACATAATATGATCGCGATGGTTGAATTCCTTTTTTTTTTTTTTTAAGAATTTAAAAAAAGAACTCAACTATCAACCTCTACATTATGTGGTCTACAAAATATGGTTCAAGTAGATAATCTCTCTAGCATTCTTTTTTTACAAAATTGAGTTTAATAAATTCTTATGACTTTTGAAGTCGCTCATCCAAACAGAGTAAGAAACAAACCGCCTTAAGTACCACTCTTCATTATACTAAAAAATGACACTTCTCTGTTTGACCAATGGATTCCATACATTTGCAGCTCATAAAGAATATTGTTGAATTATGTATTCTTGCTTATTTTGTTGCATTATTGCTGATTATATTGCAACTTGTGATGACTTGTGAGAGATGTGAATAGTATATGGTAACTATATAACCATTCTGACTAAAAAAAAAAGGGAGATAAATATGATGCAAATAACATAATCCCTATGAAGAAAACAAATCACCATGAAATATAAGATCTATTATTCAAGATATTTAGCATATATTAGAGCAGATATTGCAATTTTCGGTTAAGCATATTTTTCGTGAACTGTATATGGTGGTTGATATGCTAGACAATCGAATTTTGTACAATACAGGCTCTAGAATAATCGATTTTTATCTTTTTATTTTTATTTTTAGATCAACAATAATGTCAAATCCACTTTAATATTACTATGATGGAAAAACAATGTTGTGAATTATAGATTTATTGAATAGAGAAATACAAACAAATAGCGGAAGGGCAAGAATCTTACCCCCTCATAGAAAAATAGAGCTCATTGAGCCACTACACTCTACGAGACCATACAATAAAATACATGTAGAAAAGAAATTGACAAGCAGAAGCTAAAGTCAATGAAGGAGAAAAACCATACCTTTTCGCTCCACACAAAGAAAACAAAACATCATGGAACAAACTAGCAAAACATAAAATTAGGTTGTGAAGAAAGGTTATGAATGTACGTAGAAGTTGCACAAGGAGGACAAGAATCCGAATATAAGCTTGCATAATGATCTATACTGAAATTAGTTAAACAATCAGTAACTACATTACCCTCTCGAAAAATATGAGTAACACAAATGTTATGGGAGAATAATCAATTTTATCATGATGTAACATAATTAATTTAACTCTGCCCTAATAAGTCGCAAAATATAAAACCAATCTTAATGTGGTGTTTGTTATAGGGTTTAGAAAGTAGCATGGACTTACTGTGCAGAGAAGAAAACATCTCATTAGGGGATGAAACTTTCTATATTATCTTGATCGACAAATGTTTTGTTTGAGACAAAGGAAGTGATAACAATAATACAGAGTTTTAAAGGAAAGAGATTCCTATTTTTATAAAAAAATGGAATTTAGTTGTGCGAGTCACACCACATCGAATTTTAATGATCCAAATTGTCTATTTTTCAAGTTAAACCTCACAGATCATTCTTGCAAAATATAAGCTAAATAAAAAATATTTGAGACATTTAATTGAATTCAAAGAAATTGACAAATACTATGTTCTAAGAAACATTGAAATTTCATCGTGACAATTAAATGAACAAATGGTTTCAGATAAAATTGAACTTTTGCATAGATGATCTATGAATCAAGACTTACAAAATAGACAGTTCAGATTGTTGAAGTTCGATGTGGAACGAGTCCTACTGTAACATCCCACATTGCCCAGGGGAGTGATCCTTAAATGTATATTCCCATTCCTACTTAGCACGAGGCCTTTTGGGAGCTCACTGGCTTTGGGTTCCGTAGGAACTCCGAAGTTAAGCGAGAAGAGGGCTAGAGCAATCCCATGATGGGTGACCCACTGGGAAGTTGCTCGTGAGTTCCCAAAAACAAAACCGTGAGGGTGTGGTCGGGGCCCAAAGCGGACAATATCGTGCTACGGTGGTGGAGCGGGCCCGGGAAGTCGTCCCGCTCGGGCGGGGATGTGACAATTTGGTATCAGAGCCTAACCATGGCCGCGTGTGTGCCGACGAGGACGTCGGGCCCCTAAGGGAGGTGGATTGTAACATCCCACACCGCCCAGAGGAGTGATCCTTAAATGTATATTCCCATTCCTACTTAGCACAAGGCATTTTGAGAGCTCACTGGCTTCGGGTTCCGTAGGAACTCCGAAGTTAAGCGAGAAGAGGGCTAGAGCAATCCCGTGATGGGTGACCCACTGGGAAGTTGCTCGTGAGTTCCCAAAAACAAAACCGTGAAGGTGTGGTCGGGGCCCAAAGCGGACAATATCGTGCTACGGTGGTAGAGCGGGCCCGGGAAGTCGTCCCGCCCGGGCCGGGATGTGACACCTACCACTAATCCCTATTTTTTTTTTCAAAAAATGAGGATCCCTTCCTTTAAAGGGTCTGAACAATAATAATCAGACATGGTCCCCTAATCCTAGGGTTTAAAAAAAAATTGGTCATCCACCGTTCAATCTAAATCCAATGTAGGTGGTCATCTAATTTTTGGTTATACATTTTTCTTTACCTTTGTATTAAGATCGAATGTGGTGGGAGAAGGGAGAGCAGGTGACTGCATTTTTCTTGGACCTGAAGTCTAGGAAAACAATGCTGTAATAATATAGAGGATTTCTTGTGGTTTTGGATGCATGTAATTAAACATTGACTTTGCACATAAGAGACAAAAAAAAGATGATGCATGGCAATCAAATATGAGAAATTGCCAACATGTTCAAGTAAAGAACCTTGGGCTGAACAATTGTCATTTTTGTCAAGAGCAGATTTAATTAGTTCCTAATAATCTCTTGGTCAGATCTCGTGTCATACTATCTTAATGATGCTCAATTTTCAGTAAGTTGCAGTGAAATGATACATCTTAAGTCACTTGCAATTCTTAAATGGAATTCAAATGAGACACTGACACTGACCGGCTTTGCTGGTCATGAGAAAGACAACTTTCTACAATTTCTTTGAAATTGCAGGGTTTTGAATCTGGTCTTCGTGTTTGGTAGTGACCCATAATATTTTTGCAAGAAATAATAATTATTTTATTTCATGTTAATCCTAAGGTATATATGGCGTGGAAGCTAACCATGGTATTTAACCACTTGAACAAAGACAAATTTCTACAGTTTCTTTGAAATTGCAGGGTTTTGAATCTGGTATTCGTGTTTGGTAGTGACCCATAATATTTTTGCAAGAAATAATAATTATTTTATTTCATGTTAATCCTAAGGTATATATGGCGTGGAAGCTAACCATGGTATTTAACCACTTGAACAATTTTCCAAATTACAATTAGTCTTTGGATTGCATCAGTTAATATTAAGTCTGTTATCTTCTTTTGGATTGATTGATCCCCGTAATCTGTATATTCTATTATTTTCTGGGTAGGTAAAAAGTTCATGCCAAACATTATCATGTAAAACAGTTGGTTCCAGCTTCAGATATCTTCCCCCTTTCTAATGTGGGAATTAATATTTAATAATTCTGATTTTGCATGACAATAGTTACACGTTGGACTTGAGAATGCAATGACTTCAAGTTTGCCATTGTCATTACCTTTAATTACATAGTGCAGGGAACACATGGATTAGAAATATCGGTATATTGATTCACAATAAATTAATAATAATTAGATATAATTACAAAAACATACAAAAGTTGTTTCAAATATGATCATATTATAGCAAGAAAACATATGAAAGTTTGTTTGATAACCATTTCTTTTGTCAATTAACTTTTTCGTCTTTTGATTTTATTCTCTCTGCATCATTAGACATTATTTCTATATTGCTCCCACCATCCTACATCCAAAATTTTCATCTCTCTTATTCACATGTATCTTCTTCAATTTGCCTAATAAATAAATAAATAAAGTAAAAATTTAAAACAAAGATAAACTGACCTTTAAATATGACCTGAATGAACACATAACATATTTCTATGTAAATACACAGCTCATGCTAATAGAACACAAATTTAAGGAAGAAAGCACGAAACTTTTCAGATGGTATAAGATTTGTATGTGAGAGTTTGACATTAACCTTTTCATTGGATTAAAGGCATAAGAATACCAACCGATCATGTCCAATAGTGAATACTATATATGCTCTAAAAGCAGGATTAAATAATTCAATCAGTTGTTGGTTATAAATCAAATCCTTCCAATGAATCACGAAGAAGTACATGGTAAGATTGTTGTGTGTTTCTCATGACAATAGCAGGTGCATTGAGAATCTGTGGAACATCAACAAAAGAGAAGGGAAAAAGCAGAGGAAGTA